TTAAAATAGTTCGGAATGACATTGGAACCTGAAATTAATGATGCATTTAACTATATTTCTTACCCGAAGAATTGGAAAACGTTGAAGATCCTTTACAGCCTCATATGGACGCAAACGTAGGTCAGTGTCTGTTTTACTCCAAATTTTCCAGAACGTCAATAGCAGAGAATCACCTCTTCTGTGACATTCTTTTAGGTGTTTATGAGCACTTTCGACACGGTTGTTTTTGTCGTTGCCCAGGCTTAATACATGTTGCCAGTAACAGCGAGCCCACATTGACTTCCGGGCAATCGAGTAGTCTTTTATATAATCATACGCCCGTGAGAAATGGGTCCTTAGACGTTCGTACTTCTGGATATAGTGCGTTATGAAAAGCAAAGCTCACATGTCAGACCGTCTAGTCTTCACAAGGTGTTCCAAGCATTTGTCCACATCAGGAATTCGGAACTACAGAAAATAATTTGTACAGCTAACACATACCTTCCTGAAAAATGCTCTTAGGACATGGAATGAACAAAGTATTATGTTAGAATGACTGTGCGTAGACTGCACAGCTGAAATTTCGGTCGCTGCCGAATCCATAATGAAAGTGCGTGTATCATAAGTACCGCACATTATCTCTTTAAGGCATTCCAATAGTTTTTCTATATCTTCGCGTCGTTCTTGACTGCAGAGAGCATACATAACAGTGTGCCCTTGCCCAAGACTATCAGTCACCACTAGCTGGAACAGTGGAAAACTTTCAGATAAATTTATTACTAGTCGTTACTTACCCAACTTTGTTGGTCTGATAAGTCGAATCAATGCATATTACCTCCGGGAACGCGTGGTAAACAGCTATTTGCTCTCTGTGGCTGAAGCAAATCATAGACATGTTCCCATTTTCATTGAATACTTTAACTTCAGTATTTGCTTGAACGCGCTGTAAAATGTCATTGATATTTTTAGTGTCTAAACTCAATTAATTACAATGTGAGTTCAACAACCTGGGTATAACTGTGAACACATTTTAGCGTTATCGTCCTTGGTAAGCTGTTTATGGAACTTCCAAAAAACCATATGCCGTAAGCTACGAGTTGGTGTATTACTCAGTAGAAACGTTCTTAAATACAAGCGTTCATTTGACGTTAACTGTCGTCTCGATGGATCGACAGAAATATATCCTTCTGTGCAAGGAGGGTTGTGCACAGTTTTAATAGAGGTGACTTTCAGCTCACCATTTACTGCCCAGACCCGAAACCAAGATTGACAATGGCAATATTTCGACCTGAAGAATAAATTCATTTGAAGTAAGGCATACGTAGATAACTGATGTCGTCTCCTTTGTCTAGGTTGTGGTGGTGAGTTCGAAACCGTATGTCATCATTCTTTCGAAGAGCATACAACTTCTAACTCGGCAACACAAGCTAGACAAAGGAGACGACATCAGTTATCTACGTATGCCTTACTTCAAATAAATTTATTCTTCAGGTCGAAATATTGCCATTGTCAATCTTGGTTTCGGGTCTGGGCAGTAAATGGTGAGCTGAAAGTCACCTCTATTAAAACTGTGCACAACCCTCCTTGCACAGAAGGATATATTTCTGTCGATCCATCGAGACGACAGTTAACGTCAAATGAACGCTTGTATTTAAGAACGTTTCTACTGAGTAATACACCAACTCGTAGCTTACGGCATATGGTTTTTTGGAAGTTCCATAAACAGCTTACCAAGGACGATAACGCTAAAATGTGTTCACAGTTATACCCAGGTTGTTGAACTCACATTGTAATTAATTGAGTTTAGACACTAAAAATATCAATGACATTTTACAGCGCGTTCAAGCAAATACTGAAGTTAAAGTATTCAATGAAAATGGGAACATGTCTATGATTTGCTTCAGCCACAGAGAGCAAATAGCTGTTTACCACGCGTTCCCGGAGGTAATATGCATTGATTCGACTTATCAGACCAACAAAGTTGGGTAAGTAACGACTAGTAATAAATTTATCTGAAAGTTTTCCACTGTTCCAGCTAGTGGTGACTGATAGTCTTGGGCAAGGGCACACTGTTATGTATGCTCTCTGCAGTCAAGAACGACGCGAAGATATAGAAAAACTATTGGAATGCCTTAAAGAGATAATGTGCGGTACTTATGATACACGCACTTTCATTATGGATTCGGCAGCGACCGAAATTTCAGCTGTGCAGTCTACGCACAGTCATTCTAACATAATACTTTGTTCATTCCATGTCCTAAGAGCATTTTTCAGGAAGGTATGTGTTAGCTGTACAAATTATTTTCTGTAGTTCCGAATTCCTGATGTGGACAAATGCTTGGAACACCTTGTGAAGACTAGACGGTCTGACATGTGAGCTTTGCTTTTCATAACGCACTATATCCAGAAGTACGAACGTCTAAGGACCCATTTCTCACGGGCGTATGATTATATAAAAGACTACTCGATTGCCCGGAAGTCAATGTGGGCTCGCTGTTACTGGCAACATGTATTAAGCCTGGGCAACGACAAAAACAACCGTGTCGAAAGTGCTCATAAACACCTAAAAGAATGTCACAGAAGAGGTGATTCTCTGCTATTGACGTTCTGGAAAATTTGGAGTAAAACAGACACTGACCTACGTTTGCGTCCATATGAGGCTGTAAAGGATCTTCAACGTTTTCCAATTCTTCGGGTAAGAAATATAGTTAAATGCATCATTAATTTCAGGTTCCAATGTCATTCCGAACTATTTTAAATGAGTTCACAGCTTTTGCAGCTAAAATTGTAGCTGTAAATTATAAACGTGTTAGGAAAATGAGACACGAACTTATAGCAGGAGAATACATCCGCTGCTACGACAAGGGTATGATGTATTTTGTTGATACTTCACATGCATAATGTGCTCGTGAGCATTTCAATGACTACATGCCGCACTATGGTCATAGTTTGTATGCACATTCTAAAGATCTAATTCGTGGAGGTGTTTCTTTGTCTCTATACGCATTGTACTTATTTCGACATATCAGCCGGTGGACAAGGAAATACATAATGGACTTGGTTCTTCGTGCGCTGGACAACTTGTCAATCTCTACAGGGAGTGAAGATCTGCTAGAGAAGTTCACTAACAATTACTACTCAATCCATGCTCTTAGTGAACCTCTAGCAAGTAAACTCATCCGTTCGTGATTCGCTACGTTCACTTCGCGATTTAATAAGAAAAAAGTACGACAAAGTGATAAGTGGAAAGTCGGTCAGTCAATTCAGTGCGCTAACACTGACAGCTTATTTCTTGTTCACACACAATGAGCCCAAGTGTCCTGGTACGGCCAAGAGTGGGGAGAGCCAGCTCTCACATGGTCACACGTAGGGAAACCCTGACTCCAAACCAGTAGTGCACATAGACTACAGGATAATGAGAAAACAAATGGTGTATGAACCTATTGTTGGTCACCAGATACCATCAGACTGCATCGCCTAACGTTGCTCCACTACCTTCCAGGTTAAACCTTTAGGTCGAAGGCTCGGGGTGGCCATCGAAGAAAACCACCTGCTTCGGTTTGGGCACCCGATCAGTATCCCAACCCTCATACAAATCGAATGACGAAATATGGCGCATATATATTTGATGCCTCCTTGTACCAATGTCCATGTGTTTAAATAAATGAAATAGATCGCACACATTGATCATACAATTATTTACATCTAGTTGCTTGATCATCCCACCACACCTAAACACGTATATTTTCGCTATTACAGATGTGAATATTTTTGATTGTTACTCATCAATCACTGTTAGAACGTCTTTGCATATGAATATACTTACGGTCAGTCAGCTATGACTTAGGACCAGGTACGTATATGCGTTGGTCCATACCACATTAGCATAAGATGAATATCGAAGCCATTGTAGTTAGTTGTTTGGTGGTAATATTTCTTATAAGGACGCGGAACAGGTAGGAAGATGTAGTTAGCAGAAAGTTGTGAAGCGGTTTTATTTTCACGCTGTAAGGCATGACAAAGAGTGTATACACGTACGCCATTGTGATCAATTATGACCCATAACATTCAGTCTCCAACCATTGATTACGATAGTCACGAGGACGCCAACTAAATAGCCTGCATCTACCATCATGGCTAAGACTAGAACTTAGTGGCTCCGAGCTCTGATTTCACGTTTTGGTTTGATCGTCTGTAACTTCCTCCCAACCAGCATCGCGCGTCGTGGCAATCGGTGTCCAAGCATACGTAACACCGTGGCCCAACCATTTTAGTCGTTGAAAATTCACAACTTCGTCAACTGATTTAGCACCACTCCCTAATACCCTGCGTCTAACCTCACTGTTAATTACCTGGTGGTCCCAGTAGATGCCAGCAATATTTCTAAGACATCTGTGGTCAAATACTAATAGCTTATGAATATCTTCAACTCTTAATGGCCACGTTTGGCAGCCGTAAAGTAAAACAACGGTATGCTGTGCAGTATACTTATCCCTTAATTGATAGGCGGAGCTGATTATCTCACAATTATTACCATTATATGCCATCATTATCATTAGCGTTTTTTTGCTCTTAGTAATACTCAACTAAATGCACAGTATAACTCTGTACATCAACATACAATTAACATGTTATATTTCTTGACATATTTTTGTGTTCGAATACTATTTCTCGTAAAGCAGTAGTACAATCTTTTGTGTTTATTACTCATTTTTCGTAACGCCACTTAATGTGCACATTATTTTTTAAATCTGACTTTGGTTTTTCCGTTACCGATCTGTATCAACTCCTAGGACACATTGATTAACTCACAAATACACTGCTCCCCATACATTCCTCGTCTTCATCATCTCATCAGCTGCTACATTGACAAATCAGTAATATGATTGCTGTTTACTTTTACAGGTCACATTCCTGTGGTTAGTATAGGATTTTTTCTGATATACATCGATTTGGACTATATATACCGTGTTTGGTATTAATTACTTGTTTCAATTGTGCGTCACATGATCAAGACCCGAACACGCTAGACCTGAAAATAAAGGTAACGTCAAGACTTTTTAGATTTATATATTTTGTGGGCTATTAACTGTCTTTACATTCCGTTCATTAAATTTTTCACTATTTTCATATTAATACTTTTAGTCCGCCACAGAGCAAACGGTCTCACAATGTGTTCACTGGCTCACTTCTGCTGCATATAAGGTGTTGCAAACCAATGGCTTTGTAGAGCATGTTTTTCACGAGATCTCTGGTAATACTCAGGGAATTGAGCTATTGAACACAGCTAGGAAGCTTCAGCAGACCAATGATAAGTTGTAAGGAACGTGAAGCACCTGAAAAATTCCAAAGAAGTCATGTGCCATAGTTAACCCTGCTTCAAATCTGAATAAAACTACCATGACATCCTCAAAATGCAGTAGATTATAAGCACACTGATGCAGAAAAGGAATAAGCGTGTGCAGAAGGGACAAAGTAAAAGGAGCTCCAAAAATTGTGTCGCCAGATACAGCCTTAGAATGCTACATCAACGCCATGGTTTTACCACAGCCTGATCTGCACAATGTAGATTTGTTTGAAAATCAAAATAAAGTCAATGATTAGCTTTGGCAACTAGAAAAGCGAAGGCCCTTACATCCTTTGCTGAACCGATCTGCGGGGAAGAGTTTAAGTTCAAGAAACGCAGCCTCAGTCATCTTTGAAAAACTAGAAAAATCTCCTGAAAAGGACTAAAAGGCTAGTTTGAAAAACAATGTAAACCATATTGATTCACTAATAAGCAAACTATGCTTCCACTGAGGAGCAAAAATCTACTATTGGAAAAGTCACAAAGACTGATTGGATCCGGAATCTATATCGGCGTTGATCTAAGCCTGGTTGATCTTATGATTTCATTGCTGTCTGAAAAATGGCTAGCATCAGTAGTGTGTGACATTAAAATTCAGTCGTTTGGTTCCTTATTATGTAAGACCGACAGATTAAACCGTAGGGGGGTTCGCGTCATCTTATTCTTTCTAGTTGACTCTCCCGATTTGTTGAAAACATTCTGTCTTTCCCGAGGTCTGGTGCAGTAGGACGTGACTAAATTGTTGCACTCGTTGATTCTTAAAGTTGAGCTGCAGTTATTCCTGATAAATCTACTTTCATAGTAGTTTTCCAACTGGAAACTTTATGCCATTTACTTGACTCGCTGTTTCTCTCAGTTGTCTTCGGACATAGCTCCTACTTATGAATTCCTCTGTGTGAGCACCTTTCGGGTTGCTTCTTTTTGAACATGTTTCAAGATAAGGTAACATAATATGGCAGTTTATTTCGAGACCAGGTCTAAAGAAACACTTAAGATGGTTTTGACTAATTCCGGACTACCGTTTTTCAAAAGGAAACTCCAAGAAAAGACGCTTTACTAACTGCGGAACATTTACTAAAAAAACACACATACTAATGGCTTGGTCCGTTTCTACCATCTAATGCTGAAATCACATCAAACAGTACAAGTTTTATGTGTCGCTACTACTCAGCGGTGGAACTGGTTGGAGTTAAAAGAGAGTAATTTTCTAATGGTCCAATAGTTGATCCTATTCAAATCATATTGAAATCATCCTCATATTACCGGTTTACTTGGTAGATCGTCCATCAACAATAGAAATGGTCCAAAAGCTGTTGATATGGCTTCACATTTTCAGCCATTATTGTCAGTGATAGAAACATACAGGATGAAGGGGATTTTTTATATCCTTTGTAGTAAACCTGCATCTTTAGTGTGATACTTTATTATTATTTAATTTACTTGAACAAAAACATTGGTACAAAGAGGCATTTCACTAGGATTATTTCTCAATTTAATGAATTTTTGTTTATTTTCAAAGATGTCAGTAGAAGATTGTGAAAATGAATTACTTGCACTGGAATCCATTTATGAAGATAAGTATCAACTTGTACAAACTACACCTAGACGAAAAATAAAAGTAAATCTAAATGGTCAATCAGATGATTCACTGTCAACTAAAGTTCGATGTCAGCTTCTTTTTGAACTTTCAAGCAACTATCCAAATAAACCACCTAAATATCAAATACTTAAACCTGAAAATCTTTCAGACGAAAATATTTCCGATATAAATATTATAATCAATGAAGTAATTGAACGATCCCTAGGATTTGTAATGTTATTTGATATATTAACAGAAGTTCAAGAAAAATTAGATAGTATCTGTGCAAAAATCTTAATTCGTCAGCGTAATGAAGCTAAAGAAAAACGAAAAGCTATACAATTAGAAGAAGAAGCGAAATTCCGTGGTGATAGAGTTACAGTGGAGTCGTTTCTAGAATGGAATACAAAATTCCTTGCAGAAATGGAATCATTAAAAGAGAAGTCAATATCTGAAGATCAAAGTGCTGCTAAACGACTAACTGGACGTGAGCTATTTTTGAAAGATAATCATTATGACGATTCCGATTTGACCTTCTTGGAAACTAATGGTGGCGAAGTTGTAGAGATTGATGAACATTTATTTGTTGACATTGGCGATATAGACCTGGATGATGATAATGATGACGATAATAACCAAGTAGTTGTGACGGGAACGGCCTGAACATATTATATACTTTGTACAAATTAATTCACTCCAAAAGTATCATTGCTTTTATTTTAACAGTTCTCTTCCGGTATGTAAAGACAAAGATATACAAAATTAGAAATAGACTTCTATGACTATGTAAATTCTAAAAACTGTAACTTCCTGATTTCACAAACTTGACGCTACATTTACTAAGTGTCATACGAATTTGGCGACTATAAATTGTTAACTTGCAAAGCTTTAATTTCGTGTTCTAAAACCTATGATAATTATTTAAATAAAAGTATACAACTTGGAAACCAAAGGTAAATTCGTCCTCATAGTTAATATTTTTGGAAATAAATATGCCTACTGCATAAATCTTTGTTCCTGAGGCGAGATTCAATTATACAAGCTCTATTGAATAAATGTATCTAGATCACTGGTGTACAACACCTAGTATTCTCAGAACTGTAGTATATGGGTTCAATAATAACTGATTCGTTTTAGTATCTGATTAATATTCCTAGTTTTCTCACACCATCAATACCTTCTGTGTGCTTATTCCTAAGGATTTTTTTGAATTTCGGAAAGAAAATGCTCCCTGAACTTCTAAAGGTCCTTCAACTAATGTCAGTTTATGTTGAAGAACTAATGCTCTTATGATGTTCATGTAGATAATTTCTAATGAAAATGTAGTTGTAAGCTTATTATGTCAATAAAGACGCTCCAACAATGCGAATATTGCTGTGATACGGGCTTACATATACCAGACCTTACCAGCTATCACCCCCTACATTTAGAGATTTCCACTGTTTAAAGTAAGTCATTCCTTCACCATATTCCCTGAAACATTTAAAGTTACTTTAGTTTGATTTATATTAAGTACTGTCTGAACTGTTAGTGAAATTATACAGTAAGCGTTCCAATCTTAATAATACGAATTTTTACGATAGAACAGTGAAAAAACGGAGTTGATCTGAAAAATGTGATGTATTTGCGCTATACATTTCGAACAATCGGGTCACACATATACTTGTCAAGGCATTTTTATATAAAAATTAATAAAGGTCAATTAAATGAAAGTTCAAGTAAAATAACAAAGGGGAGAGAAAGAATAAGAAATTGTCGCGTTATCCTAGGCCATAAAATGACTTAAGGATTACCAAGGTTAATTCAAGGTTACGACAAATTGTTTTTGTACACATAAAGGGGCTTTAAATTTACGAATAGCCAAGGTTTCAATAAACTTCAGAATTCGTCCTTGACAATTTCTATACAACGTTCTAAAAGCTGTATTAATGTCAATTTCGTGCCCCGTCTCAATTATGTTTCGCCATCGATGAACCTGGTTTTCTACCTCCCACATTGATTTTGAAGCCATCTAGACACATGTTCATTGACCCTTGATTGCATTGTTCGATTACTCCTCCCTATGTATGTGTGTCCACACAAACATGTAAATTGGTAAATACAATGGGATGTGACGTAATCATTAGTGCATTGTTTGGGTCTATTAGAAACCATGGGCTTAGACTTTTCAATCACAACCAACTGAGCAGCATAATAAGTATTCTCGATGGCTGCTTTCAATCTCTGTCTGAAAACTATGCTGTTGGATTCGCTTCTATATGGTAAATTGATATAAACTTTTTTCTTTGGAACTAAATAAACAAGAGGTCTTGGCATTAACTGACTTTTGCATATATTGATAAACTTTATTGGATAACCATTTGCTATTAATGTGTGAGTCAGTATCTTTTCATCTTTTTCCAACGTGTCAAAAGTACAAATTATCTGAGTCCTCTTAAAGAGATACTTAACCAGACCTCGCTTGTATTGCAATGGACAAAAACTATGGAAATTTAAGTACTGTCCCGTCCAGGTTGGTTTCCTATACACTGACCGTCTAATATTCTCATCATCCCTTCGACTAAAAAGGCCAATTGGCCATTACTTTCTGATTCATATGTCATCACAATATCATCTTGAACACCATTGAGTTTATCCAATAATCGATAAACATCAAAATCCTTATCATGCATAATTAGAATATCGTCCATGTATCATTTATATAGAGTTGCCTCACTAATAAGCTCGCTCGTCATATTTTCCGCATACGACATGAAAACATCAGCTAAGAGAGGCTCCAAAGGGCTACCCATAGCTACACCATTAAGTTGTTGAAAATATTCACCATTAAACGTGAATTGAACATTAGCAGTAATTCTTTCAAAAATGGTAAGGGAATGAACGTCATAAACAATGAGTTTAATATACTAAAACCTTCGGGTTCAGTTCTCCCGAATTTATATGGATTACCTAAAATTCATAAACTTAATATTCCATTACGACCAATTTTGTCTATGCGCGGTTCCCCCACACATGAGTTAGCTAAATGGTTAGTAAAATTGTTAAACCCAATTTATTAATTTTCATATAAAAATGCCTTGACAAGTATATGTGTGACCAGATTGTTCGAAATGTATAGCGCAAATACATCACGTTTTTTTCAGATAAACTCCCTCTTCTCATTGTTCTATCGAAATTTATAAAAGGGGCTTAATTACTAATTATTAAACGTGTCGTTATTTAAGTTGTGTAGTTAGTTTAAACACAACGTTTTCGCTACGGTGCAATACAGTTATTTTGATATTAACATTTATAGTCGAACAACTATCCGTCAGCAAAACACTGATCAATTTCAAAGTTTTTACTTTTTTATTTTACGTCTTTTAATATACTTAGGAATTTTATGTTTTCGCTTTTCAGCTTGTTCTTGTTTGATTGCTTTTTTTCTATTCCTACGACTTTCTGGAGATTCATTTCGAGGTCGTGCATTATTCTTTACTTTAATTACATCTTCGTTAATAGATTCAGAAGAAATTTCTGAAGTGATTGAAGCTTTGTCTGTAATTGATTCATTGTCCGATTCACAATCATTGTTTTCTTTGATCACTTGGGGTTGTGTTAAAATCCCTGTTAAATCAGGTTTTAGTCCAGTTATAGCTGCGTAGTAAATATCAGAATGTGACAATTGTCCACGTTGTATTTTAAGAAAATCTCTCACAAATGGATAAGATACTGATAAATTTCGAGGGATATGTACATATCGGAAAGCTTCATCCTCTTTTTCAATTGTTTCATTTAATCCACGAATTGAAGCTTCTCGAAGTAAAGACATTAAACACTCTTTAGATGATGCATCATCGGGTGCAGGCAATGAGGGATTCACTACCCATTCGAAAAGTTCTCGTAATGTTAAAGTTGAGACACCTTGTTTGCGAAAAAATATATTTATATTGTGACAATCAGTTCTTAAATATTCAAGAGCTTGAGGTGATTCATGTTCCACAGCCTATAAAAAGTAAATGAAGTTTACTAGTGAAAGATATAAACAACTTTTACTCTAAAGATGTTTGCATATTCCTACTGAAAACGGATGTTATTTGCCTTGAAAGGTGAAAAACTGTACATCAGTGGGCTTCAAGTAGCATAAGATGAACTTAGTTGTACTGGGGAAAATATATATTCGTTCGTTGTCTCTGTCTAGATTTTTTCATGAAGATTATGGCAATCCAACTGATTTGGTAAGATACTTAAACAACTCAGTCACTCATACTTAGTGTAGAATTCGGCACATATATGGATCGGTTAAAGGTGCTACAACAAATTAGCACAGCAGTATGTTGGAGCAGTACAAGTAACATTATTAGCGGTAGTAGAAATGACTAGACAGAAGTGGCTGGAGAAGGGATAATTAATTTGTGTAATTAAACAAAATCTAAAAACATTAAGAAAATTAGGTCCTAAAGGAAGAAAGAATGAATACGCAAACAATTTTGGCCCATGTCACTGATCACGGTTGTCGTTCGGAACTAAACCAAGTAATGTGTATTTACTAAAATCGCCTTAGATTAACAGACACTAACTTCATGGACTGATATCATCGTGGTTTAATTACTGCTAACTCTTCCAACCCACCCCTACTTTAGCATTGAGGTATGTGGTGGTCGAGTATATATAATACATATCCTAACCACCTCAGTAGATGAAGGTTTGTCGCCTCACTAATTGGCTGACCACCTTTGATTGGTACCTTGAGCTTAGCTACAGCATTCCTCACTTGGCGATCCCAACATACACGAACCATGTTTTAAAGGCATCTATGACCAAATACTAATGACTTGCAAGTATCTGCTATTTTTAAAGACGGACTTTCGCACCCACAGAGCAAACCATAGTGAATCGCTGAGCAGTATACTTGTCCTCCAGTTGGTAGACAGGCAATCGCCTACCCGATAAGTGACGTAAGTTGGAAAAGTCAACCGAGCTGTATGAATCCGTGCAGAAACCTGGTCAGACACCAAGTAATTAGGCCCAGGTATGGTCGAGAGTGGGGTGGACCCTCCCTCTCGAAATGCTCTCACACGGCCACGCGTATACAGCATCTGCTAGGGAAATCCTACTCACTGCCTTCTCGTGGCAGGCGTGTTGTTTGCGAAAGTGAGAGGACGAAAAGCGAATGTTCGGCGCTATAACCGGATTCCAAATCAATGGTGCATATGAGCTCCAGTATCCTGCAGGAACAAATGGCATGTGAACCAATCGTTGGTCACCGGCTTCCATGAAAACGCACCTCCTCACGACGCTCCACTGCCTTGTGGGTCAGACCTTCAGGTCAAAGGCTCGAAGTGTGGCCCCCTACGAAAACCACCTGCTCCGGTCTGGGCACCCCGGCACTATCACAGCCCACACACAAATATGAAGAAATGTCGAGATTTATGGAAAATACTTGTCTTGCTTCGATTAACAATCAAACGATTCACATCATCATTATTATTACCATTATTATATTTTTACGTCATTTATTCCCACTCTGTGTATCCTTATTTTTCGACTTATACAGCAGATCGCCTATGGTGGAAATTCGGTTCTGTCTACACGCTTTCGAGTCACTGCCTGGTTGAAAGTTGTATGCTACCTCTAAACACGAATACTGAAGCAGTTTTTCTAAAACCACGTGCACCAGTCTGGCTGTAAAAGGTTGGATCTACAACGCGTCGGTGAGAGCAGTTCTGCTCTATCCTTGTGAAACCTGGCCTCTCCGAGTTGAGGATGTTAGAAGACTCTCTGAGTTCGGTCATCTCTGTCTCCGAAGGATTGCTGACATCCAGTGGCAACACCATGTTAGTAATGCAGAGGTTCGGCATCGTGTGTTCGGGCACAGAGACGATAATGCAATTGGTATCACTATCTTGAAACACCGACTTCGGTGTCAGTCAGTCAGTCAGTAACAACGTAGAACTTCGTACGTACTTACATCAGTTCGAGTTGCCACACCACATTTGCACAGAGATGCAGTGGTCGATTCAAATCCCGTAGTGGTAGAGGTAGCAAGAGTATAAGCAGTAATCGGGAAGATTAGGGTTTGGAGATGTTATTTAAAGAGTATAATCCAGTGAAAGAAATTTGGAAAGAGGGAAAAAAGGACATGAAGAATTCAGAAGATTAGAATTTGGGAGAACACAAAGAGTGGATGCACCTGTGCCATTCCAAACGATTTTGAGCCATGTCATTCAGGGTCTCTAACCATCGGTTGCTGTCATCTCGCGGTCCCCAACCAGGTAGTCTACACCTACCAACATGACTCAGTCCACTTGTCAGTGACTTCATGGACTTGTGCCATGTTTTGGTTTGGCCGCCCCTAGCTTTCTTCCAACCTACTCCTATACCACTGAACATAGCACGTCGAGGCAGTCGGTCGTTGGGCATACGTAACACGTGTCCCAGCCATCTCAACTGATGAAGTTCCACTACGTCATCAATTGATTTGCCATCCTTACCTAGTACCCGTTTCCTAACAACTGTGTTACTTACTCGATGGTCCCATGATATACGAGCAATGTTTCGAAGACACCTATGATCGAATACTAGTAACCTACGGATATCCTCTACTCTTACCGGCCATGTTTCACTGCCATAAAGTAGGACAGAACGAACTGCTGCACAGTAAACACGTCCTTTGGTTGATAGACGGATATCTCGCCTACGCCATAAATGACGCAAGTTGGCAAAAGCTAGTCGAGCCTTCTGTATCCGTGCTGAGATTTCGTCACACACCAGACCACAAGGGCTGATGAGACTTCCAAGATAAGTGAAGCGGTCGACACACTCAACTACTTCACTCCCTATCACTAGTTCAGGTGTCGATGTAACCCAATCCTGAAGCAACATTTTGCATTTCGAGGGAGAGAATCGCATCCCGAATATGCTTGCATTGTTGCTTAGAGTGGTCAGAAGACTCTGCATTTTGTCAGCGTCTTCGCCAAATAAAACTACGTCATCGACATATTCTAAGTCAACAAGTGAACCTCCCGGTAGAAGTCCAACCCCTGTAAATTTAGATGAGGAGAGTGTTATCTCTAAAAGTACGTCAATGACAAAGTTGAACAAGAATGGGGAGAGTGGACAGCCCTGACGAACACCACTTGAGGTGATCAATTCTGATGACAGTTCGCCATAAGCTCTCACTCTACCAGTTGTGTTCGAGTAGAGAGCCTTTATAAGGTTAATGTACTTCTTTGGTACTCCTTTCAGTGACAAACACTGCCATAGAACCTCACGATCAACGGAGTCGAATGCCGCCTTAAGGTCGAGAAATACTACCATTGTGGGGCGTCTGAATGTGTGTCTCTGTTCTAGAACCTGACGTAGTGTGAATATCTGATCTATACAACCACGTCCAGGTCGAAAACCAGCCTGGTTTTCTCTAGTCTGCTCTTCACGAGCTTTAGTTAGGCGTCGAAGTATTATTGAACCTAATATTTTAGACACTATATTAGTCAAACTGATTTCTCTGTGATTGTCACAAGAGGACTTTTGTCCTTTCTTAAAAACTGGCACAATCAGTGATTGAGACCAGTCAGATGGGATTACGTCCAGTTCCCAAATTCTACCTAAGACCTCAGTTAATCTCATTGGTAATACTGGACCACCATCCTTAAAAATCTCAGGAGTAAACCTGTCAGAACCTGCTGCTCTTCCTCGTTTCAGATTTCTTATGGCTTTTTCAACTTCGTAAAGGGACGGAGGACTTACATTAACTTGCCATTCAGGTTGACTGGAGATCGTGGGAAACCGAAGTGTGGCTGAAGGCCAGTTGAACTGATCCCTAAAGTGTTCTGCCCATCGATCCAATCTCCTGGATTGAGAATGAATAATATGTCCATCTTTCTCTGAGATTGTTTCGCTAACGGTCGGGTTCCTAATTCCGGTTTCCTTAACGAGTCTAAACAATTGTCTGCTATTACCTATTGCCGCTGCCTTTTCCATCTCTCTTGCTTTCGCTACCCACCACTGTTCGCGATCATTGCGTAGACTTCTTGTCAGCTTGCGCTTAAGCTGAATCCGCTCTTCATTATGTTCAGAGCCAGGTGGAATGAGTTTTCGAGCATCTATCAGTGCGATAGATGCTGCTGAGATCCAGTGTTGCTCCCTAACTTTACGGTTTACCTTACTAGCAGATATCACTGCTGTTTCCACAGCTTTTCGGATATCGTTCCATGCTGCCTCGGGGTGGGCATCACATACATGTCTGCCTAACTGTTTTCCTAGTTGTTCCTGAAATATATTCTTAGCTTGATTATCATTAAGTAGGGCCCTAAGAGGTTTCCTTGCAGGATCTTTCCTACGTCCAGTAAGACGCAAGCAAATACGCGCTCGCACTAGAGCATGATCTGAATCTAGGCATGTGCTCCAGAATGAGCGACAGTCTTCTATCGAGCCCCTCCATCGGTGGCTGATAGCGATGTGATCTATTTGGGTCCAACGTTGGGACGAATTAGGGGGTCGCCATGTTAAAAGATGTTTTTCCTTATGCTTAAAGTTAGTATTTGCAAGGAACAGGCGGTTATCTGAGCACAGCTGCAACAGACGGTCGCCATTATCTGTTCTTTGAGCCACGACACCATAAGATCCACCTAGGTGTCTTACCCTTTCGCTTAGTTTACCTACTTGAGCATTAAAGTCACCGGCCACTATTACTACATCCGAGCGCCTAGCTTTTCGGAGAAGGTCCGAAAGCTTTCTGTAAAACTCATCTTTTACATCCTCTGAGCTGCAGTCAGTGGGAGAATAGGCAGAGACGACGAAGAGGCAACGACGAGTGTCCCTATCTTTCCGGATTCTTACTGTTCCGTTCAGTCGGACAGCGCACAAACGGCTGTTTACTGGGATCCACTCTAAGAGAGCTAGTTCTGCCCTAGGACTCAATGCTATACCTACGCCGGCGAGGCCACGGGAAGCAGAATCAGGGCTTCCAGATACACGAAGCGTAAATCGAGTCGGTTCTTTATTTTGGCATGGTGAGGTCAAATGAATGACGCTACTCGGATCTTGTATGCGCGTTTCGGAGACGCAGCACACATCGATGGCGCGAGATTCTAAAGTCCTAGCTAAGGAAGCCTGCTGTCCTATTTGGCAAAGTGTTCGTACGTTAAAAGCTCCTACGTGTAGTTTAGAGCGTGGTTTCAGGAGACCAGGAATGGCGTTCCACGTACTCGAATCGTTTGCCCTAGCGGTGCGAGGTGATAAAGGGACGTGAGGAGGGTTAGTCGGGAGGATAAGAGAGGTATTAGGAGGAGTAGGAAAGATTTGAATGTGACCACCTTGGTCTCTTGTGCTGTTACGGGTATGAGGGCTGATGTCACTTCCCGGCTGCCCACACCGTGGAAGGGTATTTCTTGATGAACCTGAAAAGGAAATTGGATTAGTGTTGGTCTTGACGACCTGGGAGCGTGACCGCAGAGCCCAAGGGACAACTGCTTGAGGCCGGTCGCGCACGGCCTTTTTGTGGAAGGTTTTTGACGTGTTAGCTCCGTTCTTCAAGGGGCCTTACCGCCGGAGACGGAAATCCGTGAGGTAAGGTGAGGTGTGCATTTTTAGGGTCGACCTTTTCTAACCCCACCCCTCCTTGTGGGAAGGCAGCATCGCTGTCATGCTGGTTGTCCGAGGGAAACACCTTACTGCTGTCACACCTCTCTACAGTCAGCAGTACGACTTCGCCCTCAGACCTTGAGTTGCTGCTTTTAGTCTTACCGTTCGCCAATCGACCTGCCTGGCATGGTAGAACCTGCAGGAACATATGTTCCAGCCAATATAGCTCGGTTGGGTCATCACGATAGGCAAGCCCGACCACCGCGTCAAGGTAGCAGCTTCGATCGGGTGGCTTGAACATGTTCTACGAATGCCGTCCCAGAGAATTCCACGTCGTGCATTATTTGCCGACGCTGGGACTATTTTTCTTCTTTTAGAATCTGAGTCCTGAAACCTGCCTGTACCTTTATCTCGTTTTTCTATACTTAATCTTTACTACTATTGCTACTGTTACTTCTCCTGTTACTCTGGGATTTGTCCTGGAATAATTCGTCCTTGAGGCAGTGTAGTATTGCAAATTGACCGTATGTACATGTCAGGTTCTAAGTCGCATATAATTGACTGAGATTCTTAAGCTGCTAGTTAATATACCAAAACGAAACTGACACTGCAAGAATGTGGATAGGAGTAATTACTTTTCTAGCTTCTTCATGGAGTATTTTAGTTTTAATCTGTAGCTAATTGAAGCAATTTAACGTCATTGCTCATTGGTGTAATGAAATAGCAAAGTCAGTCAGTCAGCTACAACGTAGGACCAGGCACATATATGCATCGGTCCAGGTTGCCATACCGCATCAGCACAACAAGATGAACACCGGATTCGTAGCAGTGGTTGGCTCAAAGGTGGTAATATATAAGACAAAGATTGCATATAGAGATAAAGTACAAGAAGAAAGAATTGGTTCGTAGAAAGAAAGATATGAAGTGATTTTAATCTCTTAGTTTAAGAGAAGACAGAGAGTGTATCCACCGACGCCATTGTGATCGATTCTGAGCCATGTCACCCACTGTCTCCAACCATTGGTTACGATAGTCACGCGGACCCCAACCAAGTAGTCTGCATCTATCAACATGGCTCAGACTAGAGGTTAGTGACTTCAAGCACTGATGCCACGTTTTGGTTTGGCCGCCACTAACTTTCTTCCAACCATCTCTAACACCCGTTAGCATTGCACGACGTGGTAATCGGTGTTCAGGCATATGTAATACGTGGCCCAACCATCTCAGTCGATGAAGATTCATAACCTCATCAACTGATTTACCATCATTCCCTAGTACCCTGCGTCTAACCTCACTATTACTTACCCGGTGATCCCAGCAGATGCCAGCAATATTTCTAAGGCATCTGTGGTATGAAATAGTAAAATCACCATATGATTATGTGAAGATATTTAGACATGTTTTTTTCATTCTTTGATATTCGGACATATTTGTATCGGCAAGTTTTTTACTTAATGCTGAGAATAAAGTGCCTACTTAACTCAAGACACCGGTCTTGGTAGATTAGAAAGTGACGAAATCGGGTCATAGAACTATGACGAGATTGCTAAAATACTAACTTAGGGAAGACATTTGTAGTCTGCTTCATTTCCCCATACAGTTAAAAAGCTTAGTTGTTGAGGCTACAAATACACAACACTACTCTGGCGAAATCACAGAGTGAAGTCTTTAGAAATTGATTTGATGGGTTAGTAACTTCTTAAGTGTTGCTTCCAAAATAATTTGTGCCCATGTTTTGTTTAGTAGTACATAACTCAAAAGATGGACAGATTGGTCAGTTTACTTGCTTTGAAATTACTATTTTTAATAATACTGATGACTACATGGCGAAGACCATCAACAATCAGTCAGTGAAATGGAACGCAAAACCTGGCATATGTGTTACATAGGTTCAATTCGACAAACCTCATTAGCACAACGAGATGAAATTGTTAGGGCGAATCCCATAGTAGTAGAAATAGTAACAATACTAGTGGTAATAGAAAAGATTGGGTATCAGAGATACAATTCGAGAAAATATAGATTAGTGGGGTTAAATTAGTGATAAATCCAGAAACTTAAGTGAAGACAAGGAGTGCACCTTCTCTACTAAAAAGTATTCTAAACCATGTCACCCTTATATATAAATAATATATTTGTAATATCCCAATGAGTAGAAAAACTAGATTTTCTGACGTTTCGTGACTTAGTGCAAGTCACTTCTTCAGAGAATAAATAACCAAATTCAGGAAATCTACTTTTTCTACCCATTGGGATATTCCAAATATAGTATTTATTTATAACAATCTACCCAATGCTCAATTTATCCGAAATTATCAAATCAAACCTTGATAATGATATCTACATGTCACCCTTAGTCTCTTATCACTGGTCACAGTAACCACGGACCACAACCAGGTAGTCTGTAGAAATGAAAGATTCGTTTAGTGTTTGGCAATATCGCTTTCGTATTTCGAATAACCTCTAGAATACTAAATAGTTTCAAAAGTAATAGAATTTAAAACCTACGAACAATGTAATACAAAATCTCACTAGTCAGTTTAGTAGTGAATACCTACCTGGGAAACATCAATCATCCAAACTCTTCCATCAAGATATAGTAAGTTGTATTCGCTTAGGTCGGCGTGGACTAAGCGGCACTTTTGAAACAAAGTTCGTATATCATGAATAACTTGAAAGTACAAGGCAGCCCAATCGGGGGAATCTTTGCAATCGCTTTCGTGAAAACAAACATCCTTTAACTTTGGAGCGGGAATACCATCCTTCCCAACAAACGTCATCAATAGAACAACACCTTTCAAACGTAGAGGTTTGGGGGCACTTATTAAACCCGATTGATTTATTCGGAGTAAATTGCGATATTCTTTTTCACTCCATTTACATACAAGCTTCCAAGATGTTGACTTTGAGTAACCATGACGCATTCTAAAATCACCCTTTACGTATTTATCGCGAGATTTAAATGGCATTATTGATGTCATATAAACTTTGATAGCTAAATCCACATTCTCTTTATTTTTTACATGATATATGTTTGCTTCTTTTCCTGAAAATATAAAAAAAAATAAGAAATAATAACTAAACACTTGGTGAGATAACAGTGGAAAGGACGGGAAAGGATTAACGATATTATTAATTCACCGGCCGACTTATGTACCCAGCTTAGAGCTATATATAAACTAAGAATGCCTCACTAGAAAGTTTGAGAAAATGTGGAAAAATATATGTAGCCTTTCTGTCCTTTTGTCTATCAAGACGCTATCTATATCAGCTATATGATAAAACAGTGCAGTCTTCTGAGTTGCACGCTAATAAAAAAAATTAGGTCAAATCATAGGTATCGACGAAAGTAGTGGCAGTTGATAAACTGAACGCCCATCAAAACCAAAGGGTTTCACAAATCTGAACTAACAATTAGGTTAACAATTGTCAGTTGTGTAATCAAACAGGCTGGGACCTTATATGTGAGCTTGATTGAAGGTGTGACAAACCATGGGTCACAACACAGAAGGAATGAGACCATATCTCTAAGACGCCTAATATATATATTCTCTTCTGATGTCTTTGCCTTATTCCGCATTTAGGTTGCCGAAAAGTCCTCGGGTAGTAAATATGCTCAGTATAATATCCTGGAAGCTATTTCATTGTGTATCGCGAATATGCTATTTCCATTCGCACTACTTTGTTTAAAACACCACTGTTATTGGATTTTAATAACACAATTGTGGGTGAAGCAAATAGTATCAATGCAACAAGGCAACACAATTTACCAACTTTCATAACCATACACCCCCCAAGTAACTTATTCAACATCCGCTTCATACTAATTGGTAACTGAAAAAACTTTGACGAACTAATATGATATTTTCCTACGCAACATATGAAATATCACTATACTGTAGTAAAACCTCACCTCAACGGAACACTATTTATGTCGACTATTTGCACACCACAGATGCGACGAACAAATAATCTACCTGAATAAGTATCAGTGAATAACCAGTAGATATTTATTTTATTTATTTGTTTCAACACATAAATATTGGTACAAGAGGGCACCAAATATATATGCGCCACACCATATTTGTGTGTGTGTGGGCTGTGATACTGCCCGGGTGCCCAGACCGAAGCAGGTGGTTTTCGTAGGGGGCCACACCCGGAGCCTTTGACCTAAAGGTCTGATCCACAAGGCAGTGGAGCATCGTGAGGAGATGCATTCCCATGGAAGTCGGTGACCAACGATTGGTTCATACGCCATTTGTTCCTACAGGATACTGGAGCCCATGTGCACCATTGGTTTGGAATCCGGTTATAGCGCTGGACATTCGCTTTTCGTCCTCACTTTCGCAAACAACACGCCTGCTACGAGAAGGCAGTGAGTAGGACTTCCCTAGCAGAGGCTGTATACGCGTGGCCGTGTGAGAGCATTCCGAGAGAGAGGACGGGCCCACCTCACTCTCGGCTATACCAGGGCATTTGGGGGCAGTGGATATTACACAACACATATAGAAACAAATTTCATAATTTGAGTCTGACAAAAAATGGCTTACTTTTCTAAATAGTGTTTCAAACTCTATACTTACATGTTACAAAACGATTTATCAGCAAAATCGAAAGTGTGAAAACTAGGAATTGACAGGAATAAAATAAGCAAGCAGTTTGTGTTCTGACGTGTCCACACAGAGCTTTGAGTAAAATAATTTACCGCTACATATCCAGCCGAAATAAAATTGATTCCTGGTAAATCCTAACAAGGGTGTGGTGATGCAATTAAATAATTATGACGATTCGTATCACTACACAATACGTGGAGTTGTATTACCCAAAGTAATGGACTATAAAGACCTAGAAGTCATTTTAAGCAGAGGCCTCAAAACTACGAGTAACTGTAGGGCTGCTGCTGCCGTCGAGGGCTTTAGGGTATTATGAGCTATTGGTAAGTTTTTTTCAGAAATCGGAAGAATTAATGGGCGAGACTATAATTTATGGACGAGCCAATAAGATTTACGAAAACAGGTCTTCAATTTTGGAACAAAATTGATCCGTTCATTAGTCTACTTAGAGTTTCGGCATTATAGTTGATGTCAGTTCGTCATGAAAACCCTATATCCAGTTCCCAACCCTTACTATCAACTGTCAAAATTATTCTTAACTCTCCACACTAGTTTAGTTTCAGTTTGGGAAGGACAGGAGGCCTGATGGCCTGTGTTAGTCCTGGCAATGATGGTATCTCAGTTCATTCAACTTTCTTTTGAAGGAATCGACGGACGGAGCCTCAACCACGTGCTGAGGTAAGGAATTCCACTCGTTGATGATTCGGTGGGAAAGTCGATAGTCAGCTGACAAGTAATTTGTTCTGGGCTTGTGAACTTTTTTGGAGTGTCCTCGTAAATTCTCTGTTTTGAAAGACAAGAAAAATGAGGGCATATCAGGTGCAAATTTGGCACTAAGCAATTTGAAAACTGTAATCAAGTCGCCTCTAGTTCTGCGATATGACAACGGGAAAAGGTTCAGCTTGGCCAGTCGAGCTTCATATGGAAGCTTCGCTATTCCGGGAATCAGCTTAGTCGCCGTTCTCTGAACCCTTCCCAGAAGCTCACTGTCTTTTTCTAAGCATGGGCTGGCCGCTTGTATGCAGCACTCAAGTTTAGGACGTACGAACACTGTTTACAAAGTCAAAAACTTCTTGGCGTCAACATGACTAAAAGCCCTACGTATTGACCATGTGGTTCTAAAACCTTTGGCGGCTATTGCACGGCAGTATGCAGTAGTCTTTAAGTCTTGGCTAACGATGACTTCTAAATCATTATATGTCTGGACGACAGGTAGCTCAGTGTTATTCATCGTGTACGTATCTGTACCTTGATGACCGATATGCATCACAACACACTTGGAAGTATTTATCGGCAACTGCCAGGTTTCAGACCATTCGGATAATTTCTTCAGGTCATTTTGGAGTTCTAAGTTATCACCCTCACATCGTGTCGTTCTCCATATCTTGACATCGTCAGCATATAGCAAGACCGATGATGATAGGAGACGAAGAAGGTCATTTACATACAAGAGGAATAGCACTGGCCCCAAAACTGTGCTCCTGGGACACTCCACTAAGCACAGTTTCCCAGCCAGATAACATTGAGTTCACTCGTACTCTTTGTTGACGCCCAACTAGGAAGTCTTTTATCCACATAAATAGATTGCCTCCAATCCCAATTTTTCTTAACTTATATAACAGCCGGTTGTGTGGAACTTTGTCAAAAGCTTTGCTGAAACCACTTGTTCGGGTAAGGCGTTCCTATGATTGACTACTCGATGAGAAAAACGGGACACCACTTTAAGTTTATTAGATCGTGGTTTATGAACCTTCTTGCTATGACCTCGGAGATTATTAGTGCTGTAGGGAGCAAAAAGACAAGACATATTAACACCCAAATCATAATTGAAGATACGAAATGCCAGTATAAGGTCACCTCGTGTCCTACGATACGACAAGAGGAAAAGATTTAGGCGTTTTAAACGCTCATCGTAAGAGAGTCTAGAAAGACCCCTCACTAATTTCGTTCCTACATGCTGGACACGCTCAAGGGAGTTAGTATCCTTTACCAGACACGGGCTAGCTGCTTGGATACAGTACTCTAAATGTGGTCTTACATAGGTGGGATATAAAATTCGGAACGTTTCCTCGTCAAAAGATTTGAACGCTCGGCGAAGAGACCATAACGCACGAAAACCTTTGACAGCGGCTGCTTTGCAATGCGTAGTTGTTTTTAAATCATGACTTAATACTACTCCTAAGTCTTTATGCTCTTGAACGCTTGGAATAGGTTTACCCTCAATAGTGTAACGGTAACTATTACCGTGACCGATGTGCATTAGCACACTCTTCCTAGCATTGATTTCTAAGCCCCACTCTCGAGCCCATCTAACTAAATCGTCTAAGTCAGCTTGAAGATCCAGATGATCAACCGCACTTTTTATTGTTCTCCAGATTTTTACATCATCCGCAAACAATAATGTCGACGACCTAAGTAACAGCGGTAACTCATTAACGTGGAGAAGGAAGAGCAGAGAGCCTGAGATGGTGCCTTGGGGTACACCATTTTTGATCGGCTTCCAATCGGATAGCGTTCCGTTGACCCTCACTCTCTGTCTGCGGTCACATAAGAAATTTCCTATCCACTCATGCACAGTACCTATTATTCCGAAGCTCGTGAGCTTCTGCATAAGACCTACGTGTGAAACCTTGTCGAATGCCTTGCTAAAATTTATGAATATCACATCAACAGACAGACCGTTATCTATAGCTGCTGTCCAATCCTCCCTCTCAATAAGCAAGTTAGTCAAGCATGAACGCTTGTTACGAAATCCGTGTTGCTCAGGAGCTAACAAATTGTGTAAATCTATGTGGCTTAGCAACCTAACCCGAATTATCTTTTCAAGTAACTTAACGACTATGCTAGTTAGACTAACAGGCCGGTAGTTAGATACTATCTGTCTCTGACCGTCCTAAATTTATAGGACTGACTATAGCTTCCTTCCAATCTCTAAGGAGTTGAGCGAGTGGAAAGGACATGTTGAAGAGTGTCGCAAGCGGTTTTGAAATAATGTCCGCAAGAGATGACAGCAACCGTGAATGTAACCCGTCAGGGTCCGGTGTCTTACCAGGTTTGAGGTTAGTTATCAACGGAAGGACAGTTTCCTCAGTCACCTGTACAGATTCCATGGTTGGTATCTCAGTGTGAGTGGGACACGTATTTGTTACAATAAACGTAGAGAAGACTTCGCTAAAATAGTTAGAAAAAGTCTCAGCTTTTGCTCGATCTGATTCAGCTAGTAATTCTGAATTTTCGTGTAACAGTAACGGGGGAATACCATCACGACGTTTCGTCCGCCGTTTAACATACGAAAACAATCGTTTCGGACAAGTACGACTATCACATACTAACTGTCGTTCGTAAGTGGTACGGGATTTGGCTATGGTTTTCTTACAGATATTATGGAATTTTTGGTACTCACGCTTAAATTGTGCATGACCTGTCAAAAAGA